CGCCACATTGTTTGAAAAACTTCAAGAATATGAAACAGAACTTGGGCGATTGTAGAAACATGAGAATCAAGAGAAGAAATCTAAAAGCATCGCATGAAAGGATGATTCCAAAGAAGTAGAAAAAGGAGACGATCCGGTTGAAGATGAAAACTTCATGCTTCTTGTAAAAAGGTTAAGAAAATACTTTGGTTCTAAAAATAATATTGGGAATTCTGACTATATGAAAAGGAAGAAGTTTTCAAAAAGCAAAGAGAAAGAGGCGTCAATATCCACACAAGATGTCAAATGCTATGAATGTGGAAAATTAGGACACATCAAACCAAACTGTCATAAACTCTCCAAGAACGATGTCTCTAAAAGCAAAAAGGGATTCAAGAAAAATAAAGCATATGTAGCATGGGAAGATAACGAGATAAGCTCCTCATCAGAATCAGATAGTGATCAAAGCGCAAATCTAGCACTAATGGCCTCACATCATTCTGATGATGAAGACGACAAGGTTAGTAATAATTTTTTAATTTATGATGTTGATGCTCAAGGGGAAATCGATGAACTTCTGAGTGAATGCAAAATTCTGTTAAAAACTAATTCATCACAAAAGAATCAAATTTCAACTCTAGAAGAAAATATTGAAACTTTGGAAAAGAATTTCAAAAATGAAAAACAGAAATTGATTAGTGATCAAAAACATAATTTTGTATGCACAAAGTGTGAGTCACTTTCTTTTCAAATTGTCCAATTAAAAAGAGTTCTTGAAAGGTATGAAAAATGACAAATTGGATTAGAGGTTGTTCTTAGCCAACAAAGATTTTCAAATGATAAAAGTGGACTTGGTTACTCAAAATTTTCTAAACCAAGTTCCAGCAAAACCATCTTTATTAAAGCTAGTGAACAACCTCCAAAAGAGAAAGTGGTCAATCCTAAAGTGGTTCATCAATACCCCAAGAAGAAGGTTGTTAATAAGAAAAAACCTTATCCTTCTAGATACAACAGTAATTTTGAGCCCACTTGTTTTTATTGTGGTATCAAAGGCCATACACCTAATGCCTGTTATCTCTACAAGAAAAAAGGAGATTTACGACACTTGAGTTGCGACAGTTATCACAAAACCGTCCTTATTTCTGGATTGCGACGGTTGTCACGACAATTAGAGTCAACTGTCGTAGATTTTTTGCGACAGTTATCAAAAAACCGTCTTTATTCCTGGACTACGACAGTTCTCACGACGGTTTGAGCTAATCGTCGCAAATTTTTTAGGCATGTTATATAAAATAATGCGACAGTTACCAAAGAACTGCCCTCTTTCCACACTCGTGACAGTTAATGCGAACTGTCGCAATTACTTTAGCCAATCATAATCACTATTTTTTTATTCATTTAATTTTTCACTTTTTTCTTTCATTTTTATTTTCTAACCTTTTTAGTTTTATTAATTAATTTAATAAATAATTATTATAATTATTATAATTTTCATGACAATGTAACTTAATATTTTTTGTCTAAATAATAGTAAAATATTTTCTATTTTATTATATAAATAATTAACTTTTATTAAAATTAATTTTAGTAACAATGTTTATATATATATATATATATATATATATATATATATATATATATATATATATATATATATATATATATATATATATATATATATATATATATATATATATATATATATATATATACATATATATATATATACATATATATATATATGTATATATATATATATATATATATATATATATATATATATATATATATATATATATATATATATATATATATATATATATATATATATATATATATATATATATATATATATATATATATATATATATATATATATATATATATATATATATATATATATATATATATATATATATATATATATATATATATATATATATATATATATATATATATATATATATATATATATATATATATATATATATATATATATATATATATATATATATATATATATATATATATATATATATATATATATATATATATATATATATATATATATGTATATATCTATATATATATATATATGTATATATATATATATGTATATATATATATATATATATATATATATATATATATATATATATATATATATATATATATATATATATATATGTATATATCTATATATATATATATATATATATATATATATATATATATATATATATATATATATATATATATATATATATATATATATATATATGTATATATCTATATATATATATATATATATATATATATATATATATATATATATATACATATATATATATATATATATATATATATATATATATATATATATATATATATATATATATATATATATATATATATATATATATATATATATATATATGGAGATTATAAATATATTACAAATTATAAATTATAGATTAAAAACATGTTTAAACTTTAAAAAAATATTGAAATTTTTTTTAGAAAAACAACTTCATCGAAACTGTTTATGAGCAGAGTGAAATTTGTGGACTCCACCTTCTTCTTCTTCTCGCAAAAGATTTCAAAACCCTAAATTCAACCATCTTCAATTCGACTTTCAATTTCTTTTTAATCATTCTTTCTCCAATTTAATCTATAAATCCCTCGGCATCTTTCAATTTCCCGATCTTCTCTTTCTCCAATTTAATTTGTAAATCCCTCGGCATCTTTCAATTTAATCTGTAAACCCCTTCATGGATGTATCAGTGAACACAGAATCAGAATCTACAACAGTTTGCTCAATCAGGCTCACGAATCTCTCGATGATACAGGCGATAACCTAAGAAGAACCGCCACTCGTGAATTGTCAGAAAATTAAATTTCATCTTGCTTCATTGCTCCTTGTTGACTTTTTCTCTAGCTTTGACCTATTTTGATAGATTTATTAATAGTTTAAAGTTTCAGAAGTTTAAGCCATGGATGATAGCTCACTATTTTTTATTTATCACTTACTGCTTAAATGGAGTTAACTTATATGCCATTTCCTTTAGAACTTTAAGAATGTTTTATCTTTGAGATGAAGTTTAAGTGTTTGTTGAAATGCCTTTAATTTTGCTTTTTTTGTTAGTACACAGAAGAATCTAGCATCATAGCCAGTAATTATGATTCAGGGTAAGGGGCAGGTGGTGGTTTCTTATTTTCTATGGAGATGCGCTGGTGTTCTTTGTTTTATAGTTTATATCCATTTGACACTTAACAAATCAAAGGGTTTGTAAGCTGCGTGTGGAGGGATGTCTTAGAATACATTAAGGTTATTTGTTCTTGAATTTTGCTCGTGCTAGGAGAAATAGTATTTAACCTAATTTGTCATGTAAATAGATGTGTAGTAGTACACTAACAGTTTCGTATCTTTGTTTCATATTATGCATAAACAATATGCCAATTTTACTAGAGATAACCCTTAGTTCCACATCGTCTAAATATGAAATCCAATTAAGAGGAAGCTTAGGACTGTTGTTGATGTTGATGATGTGCGACAGGAGGTTGCTATTATGCGTCATTTGCCGAAGAGTTCGAGTATTGTGACTCTTTGGGAGGCTTGTGAGGATTAAAATGTTGTTTATCTTGTTATGGAGCTTTGTGAAGGTGGTGAGCTTTTTGACCAGATTGTTGCGCGTGGTCATTATATAGAGCGTGTTGCTGCAGCGGTTACGAGGACTATTTTGGAGGTAGTGCAGCTTTGTCATAAGCATGGGGTGATTCATCGTGACCTTAAGCCGAATAATTTCATGTTTGAATTATCAAACTGTTTGAATTGGGATAAGTACAGTTTGTTACTGCATGTTTGGAATTTCTCACCTACTGTAGAAAATCTCTTGTCTTCAATAGCTACCTCGCTTTTTGTCTGTAATGGATTATTTATTTTTTATGTTCATAAAAGTACAGGAATTGGCTGGTGTGGTGGTAGTGTTTGGCTTGAATCTTGATGATGATATTTGTGACGATTTTGTTGTGTTTAGCAGAGTAAACCAATGTAAATTTTTTAATTTCAGGTTCAATTTTGTTGTTGCTATCGCTAGCCTGTCAACAACTATTGTATTTGTACTGTAGTTGTGATTGTGTAAATTAAGAGTTTTTCTGCTTACCAAGTGTTTGATAGTTTGTCACACTGGTTAGTGATTAACATCTTGGTTTTAACCGCGATAGGGCCAATATAGGTGTTGTAACCGCGATAGGGCCAGCGAGGTATAAGTTAAGAGTGGACAGCCATGTAGTGCAAGTTCTATACTAAGGAGTATGAACATTACTGGCCTAGTAGTCTCCGGTTCGATAGAAGAAGAGGTGATTCCAGCAGACAAAAGTATATGAATGTTTTAGACGATAGTTTCTCACTGGAGTCTGGTATTAAAAAAATCTAGGGAGGACGAAAAGAAAGTTCCTGCAAAATCTACCACTGAAGAATTAAAGGAGAAAGGAGTCACTGACAATGTTCTGGCTCTAACTCCCTCGTTGGAGTGTGCTATTAAACAATCTAGGGAGGAAGAAAAGAAAGCTCTCGTTGCAAAAGCTACCACTGAAGAATTAAAGGAGGAAGGAGTCATCGACAATGTTCTGGTTCTAACGGTAAGAATTTTTGTTGATACAACCATGTTTGTGCATGGACTTAACCATTGTTTGCTGATTTTATTGCACAGGAACTACTAAAGCCGCTTAAAAATGTGGTCCCTTGGTTACAAGAAATATTCACATGGGAAAGACCAATAAATACTCTTGATGTTCTTGCTGCATCTCTAATAATCACCTATATGTAAGTTCTTATTTTCTTACATTATTATATACCTATCAAATGGTGCTACATTGTTTATGATTGAGTTTTGCAATGCAGGGAATGGGTTGGAAAGGGAGCTGCAGCATTCTTGGTATGGGTGATAGTAAAGATGCTTGAGGCAAGAGAGAAAAAGCTTAATGAGTAATGCAATGAGATAGTAATCAATAGAGCTAATATGGCTTCTGATAAATCTACAATGGATAGCGTTGTCTCAGCTCAACATGGATTATACACAGTTCATGAACTGATGCAGATAGCAAACATAACAATGTTAAAGATATGGTCTATACTTATTTCCAAGGCAGACAAGGTACAATTTCTTGTAAGATAAGATATCTTGGTGATAGTTGAAACATTTTTATGTAATGTCCATAGCAAACATAAAAACATTTTTTGGTATTATTGCAGCATGCAAGGACAGTGATGGTGGAAATGGGTGGATTAGCATTCTTACTAGCAGTAATACCATTCAAATTTTTCTTAATGGGTCTCATCGTGTTGCATCGTGATATAAAGGGATCGAACCTTCTTGTTGATAATGAAGGAGTTATTAGGATTGCTGATTTTGGATTGGCTTCCTTCTTTGATCCTAAACACAAGCAACCTATGACTAGTAGGGTGGTTACTTTATGGTATCGATCTTCTGAACTTCTTCTAGGAGCCACTGATTATGATGTAGGCGTGGACCTGTGGAGTGCTGGTTGTATCCTTGCTGAATTATTGGCTGGAAGGCCTATTATGCCTGGTCGAACCGAGGTAATCTCTAACACTAATTTGAATTTGCTGCAGTCACAATAGTTAGCACATCAGTGACCATTGGATCGAGATCGGGTGATACAGAAAGCAAGCAATTTCATATTATAGTTTCTGATATAATATGCTTTCATGTTTCATAGGTGGAACAACTGCATAAGATATTTAAGCTATGTGGTTCTCCTTCTGAAGAATATTGAAGAAGGGCAAAGCTACCATAAAGTATGAAAGGTTGGTGCTGTTATTTTCTTACATTGTGATCTTTTTGGTGTAGGTGCACCACAAATTGATGTCACCTGATGCTGCATATGAATATGTAAAGTCAATTCGGCCGAGAGTGCTTTTAGCTTCCTCTCGGTGGCAAGTAAGTCTGTAGCTTGTATTTCTTTTTATCACTAGTACTATTGAAGTTTTGTAGATTTTGCAGCTCCAATTTACATATCATGGTTTTGGGTAAGTTTGTTGCTGAAAATGAACAAAATTTACTATGAATGGGAATACTCTTTTTCTGAACGGGGTCCCCAATTTTAATAACCCATCAATATTATTATCTTTTAATCCATTTTTTATTTCGATAATTTTTTGTGTTGGCAAAACAATAAGGAGTTGTGATGGTTAATCTTCATTCATTTAATTTTTGAAATTTCAGGCTGTCCAGAACTACTATCGCCACCTTATTGTGAGAAGGGTTGTCGGATTTTCGCCTGCAGTTGATCTATTAGTAAAGGCTTCTGAGGTCGCAGCAGCTTCACAAGATCTTATAAAATTTGATGACAATTTTGTATTTATTTTTGGCACAATGATATTTATTCATTTTTGGCACAATGATACTTATTTTATAAGATTATGATTTGATATGTTTTCGGATTTTTGTATTACATGACATGATTATGGAACTTTCATTTTACATGATTATGAAACTCACGTTTTTTCGATATTATAATGTTTATTTGATATTAAGTTTTGGAATTAATTTTACTACGCTAAAAAGCGATAGAAAAAAATTAAAAAAAAACTATAAATAAAAATATTATTGTATAAATAATTTAAAGAAAAAATAATATAACTATTTTAGTAGATAATAATTTAAATAAAAGAATATATTATAAAACAATATAATACAATATATACAAGTTAATAATGAACCGTCAAGATATCACATTCACGATAGTTTTAAACCGCCACAATCAACAATGGTAACAAAAATCAAAAGGATATTCACGACAGTATTTAAATGTTGTCATTTCCAATTTATGTCAGTTCCAACCAGTCGTGAAATAGAGTTCACGACAGTTTTAAACCGTCACAATCAACAATGAAAATAAAAATCAAAAGGCTAGTAACGACGGTCTTTAACCGTCGCTATCTCCAATTTAGGTCAGTTCAAACCCGTCGTGAAATATAACGACGGTTGTGTGTGACGGTTTTTTCAACCGTCGCAAAACAGCCTGGGGACACACGTTTCTGCGACGGTACTACAACCGTCGTAGAATGTAATTGGTGGTGGTTTTAACCGTCGTAACCTGCCAAAATAACTGTCGTAATCCATCGTTTTTCTTGTAGTGTATGTTAGAAACTTTAGTTTTGCAAAGGGGCATTATGTGTGGGTCAAGAAAGGCACTAACTATGGAGGACCCAAGGCAAGTTGGGTACCTAATGAAACTTAATCTTGTTTTGTAGGTATGCTTGAAAACCTCCTCATATAAGTGGTATCTTGATAGTGGGTGTTCAAGGCATATGACGGGTGACATTACCAAATTTTCATCTAATGCTTAAGGCTAAAGGATTTGTAACCTATGGTGATAACAACAAAGGAAAGATCCTTAGCGTAGGCAGCATTGGTGCACCACCTTTTACAACCATAGAAGATGTCCTTTATGTAGAAGGCCTAAAGCATAACCTACTTAGCTTTAGTCAGCTTTGTGACAAAGGTTTCAGAATCAACTTCACTAAAGATGAATGTTTGATAGAAAACGAAGTCATTTCTGAGGTAATGTTAAAAGGTAATAGAATCAATAATATTTTTATGATTTCCCTTGATAACATATCTTTGAAGGTTAAGTGTCTTATGGCGAACAACATCGACTCTTAGTTATGGCATGAAAGATTTTCTCACATTCATATGGAGCATTTGAGCAAATTGATCAAACATGACTTAGTTGTTGGTCTTCCAAAGATCAAATTCATCAAAGATAGATTGTGTGGCGCATGCCAAAAAGGGAAACAAACCAAATCAACTTTCACATCCAAAAATGTGGTGTCCACAACTAGGCCACTATAATTGTTACACATGGATCTCTTCGGACCTTCAAGAACAAATTTTTTTGGAAGTAATGTTTATGCATTAGTAATTGTTGATGACTTCTCTAGATATACATGGACTTTCTTCTTAGTGCAGAAAAGTGAAGCTTTCAAGGCATTCAAGAAGTATGCAAAAGAGATTCAGAATGAGAAGTCACTTTCAATTGTCTCCATTAGAAGTGACCATGGTGGAGAATTCCAGAACGCTATATTTGAAGAATTCTGCGAGGAAAATAGAATCTCACACAATTTCTCTGCACCAAGAAATTCATACTTGGTATCATTTTCTGCGAGATCATATACTTCAAGGAGATGTCGAGATATCATTTGTAGATACTCATAATCAACTTGTCGATATATTCACGAAGCCTTTGGCAAAAGAATCTTTCTTCAAAATACGAAGGGAATTTGGAATTCTGGATGAAACTGACGCTGAATCATGAAAGAACTCCATCTGTGGCATTTTTCTCAAAATTTCACAGCATGCAATCGATTACACCTCTGTGTCAATTGATTGCTCACTGTAAGTTTTACAAATTTTATTAATTTTTGAAGCAAGCAATCGATTGCACCCTTGTGTCAATCGATTGCACCCTGCAGTGTTTGTCTTATTTCGTTTCTGTTTTGTAGAACAATCATTTGCACCTACAGTATATGTATTTTTTATTTTTTTTCCTTTAATAGATCCATGGGCTTTTCACCTTTACAACTACCCTATCATTACACTTTTTTTGACCTACCTATGACTAGCCATTATTACTTAGTTCTAGTCTCAAGACATTGACCTTTAATTGTCATATTCCCAAAGTCTTAATCATCAATACCTTCAACCACTCATATCCCACAGTAACTCCTCTCTCAACCATTATAAAACCCAACTTCTCATAACCTTTCTTAACCATCTCCTTCAAAACATAACCTCTCCACAAAAACTCTTCCTTTCCTCACAAACTCTAAAAAATCCATCCATCATTTTCCCATGGCTTCACACTCAAAAAGGAAGATTTCAGCACAAGACAAAGGCAAAGGTCCAGCCTCCTCATCTTCAAACACTCCACTTGTTCTTCAACACTTGGATAATGAACAAAGGGAAAAGTTCACCAAATACTTTCAGAAGAAGGTTGTGCAAACACCAAAATATGGTATTCTCTCATCATTCCCTAAAGAATGTTTTTCTTTCTAAGAAACCTTGATTGCCTGTGGGTTGGAACCTGTGATTTCCTCATCCGGGCCGTATTATTCGGATTTGCTAAGATTGTTCTATAGCAACCTACAAATGGAAGAAGGCAAGATGGTAACATATGTTCAATGAAAAAGAATCCCACTCCACTCAAAAACACTTGGTAGGATTCTGAATATTCCAATTTCTGGTGGGAGACTCTAAGAAGAAAACGAAGACCTCTGGCAAGCATACAACAAACGAGAATTCTATTGGAGTCTTGGCCGTATGACTGAAGCAAAATTCCATGCAAAACGTGTCAGATCCTTAGGCGGCATGGAACCCTTTCGAAACTCATGGTCGACAGGTATCTTTAACATTGATGATCAGTTGTTTCATTATTTTATGGTTTACATAATGTTCCCAAGAGGAGGAAACCACTGCATCGTGACTGATCTAGAAATGCTGATTCTATATACTATTAAGAATGGCATTCCTATAAGTTGGTCAAATTTAATCCTGAGTCACATGTGCGGAATCAACGAAAAATCCAAGTTTCTGCCGTATGCATGGTTCATCACAAAGATTTTGTAACATTTTGAAGTAGACTTTGAATGATTTGATAAGTATCTCATGGACTCAAATATCAACAAGATCTCAATAAAAAATGTGGACTCTCGGATGGGCATCAAATACAACTCGGAAACCAAAACCATTGTGTATCTTGGTGAAGGTATGGATGAAAATGATGAGGAAGAGAATGAAGAAGATGATGATGCTCCTCCTCCTCCTCCAAATGAACATGGCCCGAGTAACCAACAGTTAATGGATTACATGACTCAACAGTTTGGAAATCTCAACACTTCCATCAATGACCAATACAATGCTATTCAAGAGTCAACCAACACTCGGATCACCAACTTCCAAGAGGCCGTCAATCAACAATTCTCCTATCTGTACTCTCACTTATACATTCTGCCATATGATCATTCAAACCCGACTGTCCCTCCAACTCGTCCATCACCTCTCCAGACATCATTTCCAAACCAATCAACCTTTGACCCCAACATGGATCTGTCATAAACTTTTTACTATGTGTTTTATGTAGTCTTTTCAAGTCATTTCTGTTATTTGAATTCCGTATTTTCTAGTTTTTTTGTACTATTTTCATATTGTAATTTGAATTTATGACTAAGTTGGTATTTTATTTTCAAATTATTATCAATGTCTATCATCTATATATATTATTGCCTTAATCCATCTTTCCCTTCTTTTTGATAATGTCAAAAGAGGGAGAAGGATGTTACTCTTTTCTTGCTTATTGTCTTTCTTTAAGGTACAAATATACAAATACAAGACTATTTCGAACCTCAATACAAATCCAGAACTTCTCAACTTCACACATTGAGGGGGAGAAAAACTTGTCAACTTCACAAATTGAGGGGGAGAAAGAATTTTCCGGAAAAGAACATTGCAACAAAAGAAAAGTGCTTTGTCATCATCAAAAAGGGGGAGAATGTGAAATCAAGATTCTCAGAGATCAACATATGTTTTGATGAAGACAAATCTCTTAAGAAGGCAAAGATGATCAACCACCAAGCATCAGGACAAAGAAAACTTTAAGGATGTTTTCCTCAGAAGGTATAATGAGAAATTCCATTAAGTATTTAAGTCCTAATTGCTCAAAACATTAAAAATTATTTACATTACTTCTTACACTAACACAAGCTTTTTAAAAAT